AAAAACAAAAACTTATAACATGGGTGAAACAGGACACCACACGTGTACGATCTCAGCCGCGCAGTATCATAACAGTCAAATTGCAAAGGGTCCTGGACCCCCAAATCGAGGCAAATCATAATAGATTACCTGTAGTGGGATGCGCACGATGTGCTTTGTAACGTTTACAATTAACTATGTGTTAAAACTGCGCGGCTGAGTAGTCCAGAGGTAGGATTGGACTCCCTACAACACAAAATTTCATGAAGATCATGCGTGACCTTTATATTGCGATTTGTTATTTCCTAACGCTATTACTAATTACTATTTCTATTTTAAGCACCAGCCACCCTATAATAATTTTAAGACGTCCACGGACGCCTGGACGCCCTCAATAGCCGCCTCTGGCACACTCATAGCACTCAGGGGAATCAGAGGAAGACAAAAAGCCCAGCACCTTGACTGGATGACGTATCCTTCAATCTCATTCCTCAGAAGACGAGCTTTGAGGTCTCTTAAGTTTGTTTATGTAAATTTTATAGATAATTTATTATAGCTTTTATAATGTGTAAAATTTTACGGACGAAATGATCCCAGGGGGGACTCCCAACCCACCGCCTCGGCGGGTAGTTGATACACCCTTCACAAGCAAGAGCCACTTTGGTCTACTTGCTGTGAGGTGTCTCAGCTACATGGGTTGGGGGTCCCCCTTTTTTTTCATTTTTTTTTCAGTACTTAGCTTAATATCTAAGGTGAGATCACGAAACCTTCTTTTGACTTCAATATCCGAACCTTGTAGAAAGTAGGATTATTTTCATTTTGGTTTGTTATATTTGAGTACTGGACCGTTTCTGCTTATTGATTGAAATAAATTTTCGTGCACATACAGAATGAATGTTTAATAATTTAATATATATTATGTAGACCAAGCTCTGTGCACGGGATGCTTCCTGGAAGAATCCAGTTCTGTTAGCGGGGCACCCTACCTAAAGCCAAATTGAGATATAATAATCATATTCCTAGGGAAATAATCAGAAATCGAATACCAATCAAATTGATTGATTGAAATAAATTTTCGTGCACATACAGAATGAATGGTTAATAATTTAATATATATGTAGACCAAGGTCTGTGCACGGGATGCTTCCTGGAAGAATCCAGTTCTTTTAGCGGGGCACCCTACCTAAAGCCAAATTGAGATATAATAATCATATTCCTAGAGAAATAATCAGAAATCGAATACCAATCAAATAATATGATATATAGGAGTAGTAACCATATTTACTATGCAAAATGCCCCAACCACATAGTGTAAATTTATATAGAATTCAAATTCCATATCATCATTAAACCTCAATAGTCAATATAATAGCCTACAAATTAATTAAATTATGATATGACTGTTTGGCTGGGTAAGTTGATAGGAGTGACTAATTGATTGGAGTGCCTAATCTTGTGAGATGGAATACCACACAGGGCAGAGGTACTCAGATGCTGTGGAATACATTAGAAAGTGCCTTCGTTTCGAAATCTTAAGAACGACGGTAATTTCTCTCCGGGGAGACCGAGGGGCGAGAGAGAACTTTGTCAATATAGACAGTTTAGATTTGAACTTGGGGCTGCAAGGCCAAGGGTGATTTTCAAAATATCGAGTTTTTTAAGGGTTATTTTTATATAGGGTCATTGTGACATTATGTGTATACTGTTTGAAACATTTTATAATTCAATTTTGTGAGCTGTATGTTGATGATTATGCAGGCCCTGTGTGGGGTTGAACTTACAATTTTAAATTTATCTATAAGTATGATATCACATGTATTGATTGTACTCTGCTTAATACAGGTTTTGGCTTTCTTTTATATCCCCAGATATGATTCCCCAATCATCTTCTTGATGTTTAACCAAAAAAAACTAGAAACGGCTGAAAAGTTAATTTAACAGTGCAAAAGCATGAACTCGCTCAGTCCAAACTCGCTGCATTAAAAAGTAAATTTAATTCTGAGCCCCCCAACACAATATATCGGCCAGTAATTAAATAACTTGGTGTAGAGCTCAGACTCCATCCATCATTATACAATTAGACCCTGATTATAATGTATCTTGAGACATGGCATAATGTTTTTAGCTCTTTACTTATCTCCTTCGATAATTACCATCATCATTATCGGGGGATGAAAACCATTGACCACATACAACTGAACTCAGAAAATAGAAATACATCCTTACAAACTCAAAATAAGCAATTCATGAAGCATACACTCTAATTATTGCAGATTATAGATAATACAGTATTTCACTGCCTCCAGAATCTAACCCACCACTGTAGTAAATTACAACAGGCTAGTATTACAATACCACTAATGATACACAAAACCACCAATTTAACCATCTTCCGAATATAAAAATTAAAAAAACTTTAATCATTTGGTTTTATCAGAGTTTTGTCGGCACTAAACCAACAAAAAAAACCATGCCCATAACTCCAACCGTTTTCTTGATTAAGCTGTTCGGAAATTACCCACACACAAACAGACAGACAGACACACACATTTTAGAATTATTAGTATAGATAAGACTACAATTATATTAGCCCAAATTTGATTTTAGACCTTTTAATTTTTTCAGTACTTATGAATCAAATAGTTTTAGCTATGTCTCCTCAGTGAGCTTGAGGTAGGAGTGTGTAGGAATAATCTCGGTTTGTCATCCCGCTGTTTGTGAGGACTCCTCACAAACAGCGGGATGACAAACCTAAATTATTCCCACACCCTCCCCCACCGTTTTAAGGTAACTCTGAATTCGAAAAAGGTTTAACGTATTGATCTAGTTGATAATGTTGTCTTTTTGTGTATTGATGATTTTATTCTATACTGCATGTATAGTTTTTATTAAGTTTATATAAGTCAAGTTTATACTTTTGTATAACTAAAAGTTGTTTGAAAGGTATTCCTAAACTGATTCACACAAATTCCTATTGTTAGAAAGTCAAAATGTCTCTCATGGAAAAGCAACTCGACCCTTTGTTCTTAGCTCGGAGCTACCTCAGAAGAAGGAAATTTGATTCCTGTATAGAGATTTGCTCCAAAATGCTGGAGAAAAATCCTTATGATCAATGTGCTTGGTTCATGAAAGCTAAAGCCCTGACAGAACAAGTTTATGTTGATGAAGTTGAAGCGGACGCAGATGGAATTGCTGAGATGCTTATGGATGACAATAGTATTGCTCAGGTACTTTTCTTTTTATTTTACATCTCACTTCTAAGGCGAGCCTTTACCAATTTTCATTCTGCTGTTCTATATTAACTATTGAATTGAACTCATTTTTCGAACTCATTCCAGTCTACGAAAGGACCTAGGCAGTTAAAGAAATATAGCCCCGATCATGATAGACCAAGATCAGAATTGGGCCGTAGATCAGTAGATCATATCAAAATTGTAGCCTGGAATCATAGCAACACATTTTTCATGAACTTATTATTATATTAAATAACTTTCTGTTGCAATGATAATAAGGTTGAGTATTGTATCATTACCAAATAACTAAAACTTATAAATTTGAAATTTAGCTGTTTAGAATTGATAATATATAACATGGTTTGTCTGTATAGCTATAATGTGAATCACGAGGACGACAGCATAATTAGTGCTAATTAATTAGGACATTAAATCAAAAATATCTACAATCGAGGTGTTTTACAATTGTACACAACACACGAGTAGTATCATTGCTGACTCTCCTAGGTAGCAAGACCTGGCACCTCCTTCAAGAAACCAGGAACATCAGGACAGGGCACCTCCACTTCCCAGGGGGTCAGACCCATGTCCCAGTCAGGGAGACCAGTCAGTGGGTTTGTGAGGCCGGGTACTCAGTCTGGCAGACCTGGTACCATGGAACAAGCTATCATGACTCCCCGTACCGCTCATACTGCACGTCCTGTTACCAGGTATGTTAATTGTTACCAGGTATGTTACCAGTGCTGCAGGTATGTGTTTCTTTCAGTTTACTAATGTTCTCTGCCGTATCTATTTTAAGAAACCTTGCTTACTTGTACTGTTAGAAAATATTCAGACATTATTATTTTCTGAGAATTGGAATAATAAAAGCGCTATTTCTTTATTGTAGATCAATATAATTTAGAATATAATACGAATGAAATATTAAGAGATGAAGTTGTATCTGTCCTTAATTTGAAAACATAATAATATATAAATACAGTCAAACCTCTCTACCGGGTACCTCGCGCTCGGTCATTATTATTTATCTACATATTATAATCTCCTATATTTATAAATTCAATTTCAATGTATAATCATAGATAATAATCCTATTTATAGGAGTAAAATACCTTTATTTTCTATCTTCAATTAATAGAATCAATCTCCTCAAGAATCACTTTTTCTCAGGCTTATGTAATTATGTGATGTATACATGGGCCATGAAGTGAGCAACCAAGAGGGGATAGGATTAGATTATTAGATAAATACACCATTAGTGGGCCTACAACCTAGAAGGCCTACAACTTAGAAGGCTACAACTTTCCCTGAAAATGCGTGCTCCGACTGGAAATCATTAATCTTTCGATTTCCGTAGAACTAGAAGGTTGCATTAATGTACCATTAGGGCCACTTTGTTAGCTTGGGCTTTATTAAATGAAGCCGCCCACTGATCTATGACCGTCATTATCATTCATTCGATTGTTATTCCGGGTAAGGATAATGTGGCCCATAATTGGCTGCATCTGATTTGTGATCCGTTGTTGCGTAGACAACAAACTGAATTATAAATGTTTTGTAAATTGCTTTTATCCCAAGTCTCGACATATTCCATATCACTTACATATTCCTGGAAAATGATTTTCCACTTTATTCTGTTCTTTTTTTTTCCGTAAAAAAAAATTCAAAGAACTATCAACTGATCGTTCAAGTTTCCGGTTTTTAATTGGTTTCCGGTTTTAATCGGGTACTTACAAAGCCGTCAGGCTGTAAAAATGGTAATAAAATAAAAACGCATTTTATTGCAGTGCGTCCGGTAGATTTGTACGTTTGGGAACTGCGTCCATGCTGTCAGAGCCTGACGGCCCTTTCATCAACCCCTCTCAACTAAATCTTGCAAAGTACGCTGACAGGCCTGGTCTCAACAAAGTCCTGTTCGATTATCTCTTCTACCACGAGAACGACATCAAGAACTCCCTCGAACTTGCAGCTCTTGCCACTCAGGTAAGATTATAAACATGATGTTAAAGTTGCGGGTTTTCATCTCCTTTTTCTGGACACGTGACAGGTAGATGGGTGTCATCAGTCATGTGTCTAGAAAAAGTGGTATTGCGAACTCACCAAACAATTTGAAATACTCCGGCAATCTGGTAATCTGTCCACAGATACTTCATCACCTTGTTGCAGTTATTTACCACTAGCACTAAGCGCTTTTTTAACGTCTGTTTGTTGGCTGTGCGTTAACCCTTTGCTTACCGGGCTGTGCTTTAAGTTTCCGTGTTTTATCCGTGTGTCATATGACCAACGTCCGTTAACAGTTTGTAAACAAGCGTTCGACAGATTACCAAGTTCCCGGATAAATGTTTATCATTATAATATAATAACACCATCATGAACTAGCATGTTACACACAATATGTAATATCACGCTCTCTGGTTTGCTGATTGCTAATGTTGTGTTAAACTGGAAACTGAGCTGTTTAACGGATTGCTCTTACGTTGCTTCTTGCTTTGCTCTCGTGATATAGATATGCACACTTGCTTCTTATCATTATTATTGTACTGTGAACGTTTCCATCTAATTTACCTGATTTTTCATCTAATTTACCTGATTTTTCATCTTATTTTAAACCTTGGTTTTATCTCCCTATACAGTCGTCCAAGTATGATGATTGGTGGTGGAAACAACAGCTCGGCAAGTGCTACTACAGATTGGGACTCTTCCGAGATGCGGAGAAGCAGTTCCAATCCGCCCTGAAACAACAACCAACAGTTGACAACTATCTGTACCTGGCTAAAGTGTTTGTGAAGTTAGACCAGCCGTTAGCTGCTCTGGACCTGTTTGAGAAGGGAATGGAAGTGTTCCCGGGGGAGGTGTCCCTGATAATCGGGGGAGCCAGAGTACACGAGGGGTTAGGAGATCTGGATAGCTCGGTTAAGTTCTACAAGAAAGTGTTCCAGTATGATGCGTCATGTGTGGAGGCTATAGCTTGTATTGGTACTCATAACTTTTACTCTGACATGCCTGAAATAGCTTTACGTTCCTTCAGACGGCTACTGCAAATGGGAGTTTGTAACACTGAACTTTACAATAATATCGGACTGTGCTGCTTCTATGCGCAGCAGTATGATATGTCTCTGACGTGTTTCGAGCGTGCGATAAGTCTTGCTCAGAAGGAAAACGTGGCGGATGTGTGGTATAATGTCGGGCATATTGCTGTGGGAATTGGGGACTCAAACCTGGCATACCAAGCATTCCAAATGGCTCTTATCTCGGATAACAACCACGCGGAGGCGTACAACAATCTGGCGGTTCTGGAGATGAGGAAAGGAAAAGTAGAGCAAGCCAGAGCTTATTTCCTCTCAGCCATGACGATAAACCAGGAGCTATACGAGGCCCATTATAATCTGGCTATTCTCTCTGAAGGGCAGGGTGACCTGAATACTAGCTTTAAAGAGGTCAGGAAATCTCTGGAAGCTTTCGCTGAACATGTTGATTCTAAGAATCTTCTGACCCAGCTCCGCCAGTATTTCACTTTGTTGTAAATGGTTTTGGGAAATATTCAGAAATTATCAGAATTGTTTTTTTCCGTAAAATGTACATCAGACTTTCTCAGTATCACCCATGTGTATTGTATGTATTTAACTGTATACTATACATAGTATAATTTATTAATGGTTATAAGGTTATGTTTTCTGCAAACTACCCTGAAAATAAGCTATGATTTTGTGTACAATAGAAATTTCTCCAGAACTAAAAACTTTCACAAAACTCGGACGATAAAAGGACTAGTGATCTTGCCACGTATATCTTGTAAATTGTTTAAAGGTTTAATGGTTTAATTAAGTTGTATGTGACCACCGAGCAAGCTATAATGTGGTCATTACATGGCCCGGAAGAGCATCACAGGCCAGGATATCTATCAATTATAATACAATTATCATTCCAACTGTCTCGCTTTATTGCATGTCATTTTCCTTAAGGCCATATTTGTTGAAGTTTCGTGTAAAAATATTCGTGTGTACATAGAATGTGATGTTATCTTAATAAATATTAATCCTTGCAGTTGTATAGAATTATGTAGTAATTGTATCATATAATGCATTTTATTATACCTTGCTCACATATTATTATACACCTATATATTGATAGCAATTTCCTGTAGATATTGATTTAGTTCGATTGTAATTTGAAACTCGTTTTAATGATCTTTTTACACTGTGTGAGCTGTAAATCTTCCTTTTTTATTATCATACTCAATTATTTTTCCTGTTGTAAAACATAAAATGTGTTATCATCCCTTACTTAATAAATCAAACCTCTTTTAGCCCCGAAAAGCGGTCGAATGGCATGCTATCTGACGAACACAGTGTACGACTGCGATGCGAAGACCATATTCCAAGCTTCTGTCCACATCCTTCGTCAAGATATCCAAGCTGCCAGAGACGTATTTTCAGGTGACTTTCTTTGTCCCATGTAGTTATATGATGGCATGAGATATTCTAGATCTGAATGATATCCCTCGACAGTCTACAGTGAGGAGATCATACCACCAGAAACTGATCCTTCTTTTTATTTTCTAGGAAAGCTCCAGGACTTCAGTAGTATTTCAGAACTTCTCGGCCCGGCAAATCATGATCTTAACCAGACCGTTCTGGGATGGTTCGACGGAAATAACGACTTTGTCCCAGAGAACCCCGATCACTTCTTTGACAGAGTGTTTCTTCAGCTAAATTTTACAGATCCCGAGATTATGTCGACATGTGGTTTCCTTGAACAAGCAGGAATCAAGTGTCATAATGGCTTCCTCAGTGACTATCCCTCCGAGATATATGAGAATCGTCTCAAAAAGTTTAACGACTACACCATGAAAGTTCTCAAAGACAACACCTCAAACATCTGGCCTGACATGACGCCCTGTCAGCGTACTAGCTGCAAAGTCCTCCTCTGGACTGTAAAACACAGCAACCGGTCATTTCGCGGTCATATATTCCCCATCGATCAGTTTTACGGGTATCACGGTCGGTACATGTTCCTGATGACCGACCTAGCTGTGATTGAAGACAGTGCTGATATTCAGCGCTACATATCACGTGTAATTGGTGGCGGACACAAGTTCAACAGGATAGTAGCTGACATGAAACGGAAGGAGGCTGTGGGAGCGATAGCACCCCGATGCTGCCTGGAAAAAGTTGCCAGCACCATAAAACAAACACTATTTGACCTTCATTCTGAGGACAACAAATTGATATGTACTGCTACGGAGAAATATGAGGCTGCAACTGGAGAAATGTTACCTGAGAACTATATCAAAGCTATCAGACATGCCATTGAACTGTACCTCATACCCGGGCTGACCAACTGTCTGAACGCTGTGCGGAGCTACATACAGATCTCCTCAGGTGAGGTGGGGTTGTGGAAGATGCAGGACGGTGAGGACTACTACGATCATTGTCTAAGGTGGGAGACTACCACCACCCTCACTCCCGAGCAGATATTTAATCAGGGTAAAAACGATACTGAGAACACTCTGGATAAAGTAGTTCAGGTTGTGAGGGTGATGAATGAAAATGGGGATATGACTCTGAACAGTTTGGATCCGCCATCTGTAATTTTAAGGGATATGTTTGAAAACAAGAAGTTTAGATTTCAGAACGGTCCTGAGGGTAAGAAGGCAATTATCAAGTACTGCCAAAATCTGCTGAAGGAGGTCTCTACAAAGGTGGACCATTTGTTCAGGGAGAAACCATTGGCTGCGTGTGAAGTATCCGAACTCCCTGAAGCAATGTCCCTGGGGGGTGCTGCTGCGTTCTACCAAGAGAGCACTCTAGATCTCACTCGACCTGGTATCTTCTACATTAACACTGGCAACATGGCAACTCACCTCAAGCCTCAGATGAAGAGTCTAACAGCCCATGAATCAGTGCCTGGGCACCACTTCCAGATCTCCCGCATGATGGAGAACAAGAAGCTACCGGCCTTTCGGAGACGTTACAGTTCCAGATACGCAGGATTTGTTGAGGGCTGGGGCTTGTACTGCGAGTGCTTGGCTAATGAGGTAACTTGTTCAATGATCATTATATATATTCTGTAAAATACAATGTGCTTTGATTCATGACGTATGTTTAAAAACCTTCTCTTCACATTCAGATCATAACTTTTTTGGAAATCCAATTCATTGCATTGAAATCAATAAAATTGGCATCAATTGGCAAATAATAATTTCTTTGGACAGTGCTTAATTTATTGTACATAGTATGCACGGTATCGTAAATTTAAACGTTTTATTTCAGATTGGTTTCTATAAAGACAAAAGCGGTTTAGATAGCTACGATACATTGGGCTATTACACGTTCGAGCTCCTGCGATCAACTAGACTCGTTGCTGATACAGGAATACATCGCTTCAAATGGTCAAGGGAGAAGGTAAATCGTAAAAAAGCTGTACATAAAATAAACATCTGGCATCTGTTTGCTCTGCAACTGGGAATCTAACGTCTCCCATCGAATCAGCCAAGTTGCAGTTTTGATAGCAATTTTGTGTTCAAAAATTAAAACTAATTATATATTAACAGGCTATCCAGTATATGATGGAGAATACAGGGATGGGCAGAGAAAGAATAGAGTCGGAAATAGACCGATACTGTGTTCTTCCTGGACAGGCTTGCTCATATAAGGTGATCTTATTGTGTTCTAGGTAGCTAGTTCAAATGAAGTAAAGATTATTTCGAAAAGTTTCAAGTGCTTCGATTACATGTTTTAGGTGCTAGTTCTATAATCTTTATATCATCTTTGAATAATATATTTACCTATAATTACAGCTGAGTAATTTAAATCATCCTCAGATCGGACAAATGAAGATTCTAGAGATTCGAGCCAAGTTAGAGAAACAAGAAGGCTTTGACCTAGCCAAGTTTCACGACAAGTTGCTAGGTTTGGGTTCAGTTCCACTGGAAATACTAGAGGAGGAGATGTGGAGTGGGGAGAAAGTATAACTTTTCTTCCATATGGAATGTTTTGTTCACTGGACTTGCAGTATGATTATCATGTTACCTTAGTTAAGTGACCACTTTGATAAGGAATATAAGGAACTGAACCCTCCTATGATTTTAATTTAAAGCTGATGTTTTTAAATTATGTTTAGATGTAAAAAATGTAAAAAAAAGACAATTTGGTATAATTCTTATTTGAGATTTAAACCCGTTATATTAGTGGGTAATAACATTGATGATTTCAACTCCTCCGACAAAAATCTTTGTACTTGTGTCTCTTGAAGTGGAATCTTTGCTTGTTTAGAGTTATGAGATTAGACTAGTCACGCATTGGTTCTTTTATCTTTAGATTATTGTGTTTTATCTGTTTGTAAGAAGCATAGAAAGCATGTAAATAGCTCTTTTGGACGAATCTTTTCAGATCTTTTTATTGTTTTTACTAAATTTATTTTATTTTTATTTTAAGACTAGATTAGATGCAGTGTTTCGATCGCAGAAGGTCTACTCAAAATGATAGAAATTGAATTTCAAAACAATTGAAATTTGAACAACATCATACAACTAAATTAAATAACGACTCGGAATATTACTGTGTGTTAACTAAAATATAAAAGAGTGTAATGTGACCCTGCCCCTGTATCTCGAATATCCGCCACTTATCTTCCCCTCTTTGGCTCTCTCTCTCTCTCTCTCTCTCTCTCTCTCTCTCTCTCTCTCTCTCTCTCTCTGGATCTGCTCCCTGCATCTTGAAAGTTGTTACACCCCCCCCCCCCCCTCCCCCTTCTGAATGATGCGATATTAACGCTTTTGACTTAATCCAATTATCTAGAAGATACAAATTATCATTGCGCCATGGCAAAATTCGTCCAAATGGCGAAGAAAAAAAAAGATCCTAGTACTGTAGTATGTCGTAAGGTTTTTTTTTACATATTTGATAGATTTACCGATCTGGCTTGACAAAGATTTTCAGAAAAAATCATGTTCGCGGGAAGCAAAAATCCGATGAGTTTTTTAGGGGGGAGGGGTAGGGGGTTGAGGGGGCCGGGGGTTGGGAAGGGTTGTCACATGACGAGAAATTTTTTGCAAAAATTAAACAATCTTTATTTGTTGATATTATTCACCCCTGTTGCCTAGAGTGGTGGGTCTGCACTTGAGAAGAGTGAGTCTGGCCGCTAGAATGGTGGGTCTGCAATCTAGAAGTGGGTCTGGCAACCAGAATGGTGGGTCTGCAATCTAGAAGTGGGTCTTGCAACCAGAATGATGGGTCTCTACCCTTAAAGAGTGGTCTGTTAACCAGAATTGTGGGTCTACACCCTTGAAGAGTGGGTCTGACAACCAGAATGGTGGGTCTGCACTTGAGAAGAGTGGTTCTTTCGGCTGGAATGGTGGGTCTGCAATCTAGAAGTTGGTCTAGCAACCGAAATTGTGGATCTGGATACGAGAATAATGAGTCTTCACTCTCTAGAAGAGTGGGTCCGGAAACCAGAGTGGTGGGTCTGCACTTGAGAAGCGTGGGTCTGGCCGCTAAATGGTGAGTCTGCACCCTTTAAGAGTGGGTCTGACAACCAGAGTGGTGGGTCTGGACTTGAGAAGAGTGGGTCTGGCAGCTGGAATGGTGGGTCTGCAATCTAGAAGTTGGTCTGGCAACCAGAATGGTGGGTGTACGTACACCCTTGAAGAGTGGGTCTGACAACCCGAGTGGTGGGTCTGTACCCTTGAAGAGTGGGTCTGACAACCAGGGTGGTGGGTCTACACTTGAGAAGAGTTGGTCTGGCAGCTAGAATGGTGGGTCTGCGATCTAAAAGTGGGTCTTGCAACCAGAATGGTGGGTTTGCTTTCTTGAAGAGTGGGTCTGACAACCCGAGTGGTGGGTCTGGACTTGAGAAGAGTGGGTCTGGCAGCTGGTATGGTGGGTCTGCAATCTAGAAGTGGGTCCGGCAACCAGACTGGTGGGTGTACGTACACCCTTGAAGAGTGGGTCTGACAACCAGAGTGGTGGGTCTGCACTTGAGAAGAGTGGGTCTGGCAGCTAGAATGGTGGGTCTGCAATCTAGAAGTGGGTCTGGCAGTTAGAATGGTGGGTCTGCAATCTAGACGTGGGTCTGGCAACATGAATGGTGGGTCTGCACCCTTCAGGCTTAAAGAGTGGGTCTGACAACCAGTGGTAGATCTGCACTTAAGAAGTGTGGGTCTGGCAGCTGGAATTGTGGGTCTGCAATCTAGAAGTTGGTCTGGCAACTAGAATGGTGGGTCTGCACCCTTCAGGCTTCAAGAGTGGGTCTGACAACCAGAGTGGTAGATCTGCACTTGAGAAGAGTGGGTCTGGCAGCTGGAATGGTGGGTCTGCAATCTAGAAGTTGGTCTGGCAACCAGAATGGTGGGTGTACGTACACCCTTGAAGAGTGGGTCTGACAACCCGAGTGGTGGGTCTGGACTTGAGAAGAGTGGGTCTGGCAGCTGGAATGGTGGGTCTGCAATCTATAAGTGAGTCTTGCAGCTAGAATAGTGGGTCTGAAATCTAGAAGTGGGTCTTGCAACATGAACGTGGGTCTGCACCCTTAAAGAGTGGGTCTGGCAATCAGAATGGTACGTCTACACTCTAGAAGAGGTGGATTTTCGCCCTAGAAGGGTGAGTCTGGAAACCAGAAAGGTGGGTCTACAATCTGGAATATTAGTGGGTCTGGCAACCAGAATTGCGGGTCTGCATTCTAGAATAGTGGATCTTCACTCTAGAAGAGTGGGCCTGGCAACCAGAATGGTAAGTCTACACTCTGTCAACCAGATTTGGGGGTCTATAAACTAGAATATAGGAGATATGGCTACCAGAATTGTGGGTTTGGACAACCCGAATGGTGGGTCTTCACTCTAGAATAATAGGTCTGGTGGGTCTACACTTTAGAAGAGTGGGTCTGGCAACTAGAATGGTGTGTCTGCAATCTATAAGAGTGGGTCTGGCAACCAGAATAGTGGGTCTGCAATCAAGGGAATCAAGATGAGTGAGTCTGGCAATCAGAATGGTGGGTCTGCACCTTAGGGTAGTGGGTCTGGAAACAAGAATGGTGGGTCAGAATTCTTGAATAGTGGGTCTTCACTCTAGCTAAGAGTGGGTCTGGCAACAAGAATGGTGGGTAAGAATTCTAGAATAGTGGGTCTTCACTCTAGAAGAGTGGGTCTGGCAACCAGAATGGTAAGTCTACACTCTGTCAAGTGTCAACCAGAATTGGGGGTCTAAACTAAAATATAGGATATATGGCAACCAGAATTGTGCGTCTGGAGTCTAGAGTCTAGAATAGTGGGTCCGGCAACCCGAAAGGTGGGTCTTCACTCAAGAATAGTGGGTCTGGCAATCGGAATGGTGCGTCTACACTCTAGAAGAGTGGGGCTGCCAACCAGAATGGTAGGTCTTCGCCTTAGAAGAGTGGGTCTGGCAGCTAGAATGGTGGGTCTGCATTTTAGAATAGTGGGTCTTGACTCTATACCTACTAGAAGAGTGGGTCTCCTCTCTAGAAGAGTGAATCTGGCAACCAGAATGGTAATTCTTCACTCTGTCAACCAGAATTGGGGGTCTATGAACTAGAATATAGGAGATATGACAACCAGTCTGGACTCTAGAATAGTGGGTCTGGCAACCAAAATGTTGAGTCTGCACTCTAATAGAGTGGGTCTGGCAACTAGAATACAGACACGTACCCAAGGGTAAGACCCCCGGAAAAAAATTGAACCCCAAAAAAAATAAGCCCCCTAGTCCCCATGGTCGCCTGGTAAGTGGGCTGTGTTTATGACTGTTTGATTAAACGACACGACAGGCAATTGACTTTAGCATTTCGTAAATTATTCCCAAATCCCACTATACAATATGTACTTATTCCATTCAATGTGACAAGTACTGAGTTCCCCCCTAGCCCCCAACTTTGTATTATTGTGATGTCTGAAATTACAAATTTCTAATGCCAAATGTCGTCTGAAACACCCTATTTCTCAAAAATTATCGCCGTCCTACAAATTTCTTTAATGCCTAATGTCGTCTAAAACAAATAATTTCTAAAACTTATCTTGGGGGCTGCGCCCCCCCCCCCCCCCCCCCCAGCCCCCCAACCCCCCAACTTTATATTATTGTGATGTCTGATTATTACTGCGCCCCCCAGCCCACCAACCTTGTATTATTGTAATGTCTGATTATTGCTGTCCCACAAATGTCGTCTGGAACACCCTATTTCTCAAAAATTTTCCGAAGGCCAGTGCTGCGCCTGCCTAGCCCTCCAACTTTGTATTATTGTGATGTCTGATTATAATTACTGTCCTACAAATTTCTTTAATGCCAAATGTCGTCTAAAACACATAATTTCTCAAAAATTTTCTGATTGGCTGCGCCCCCCCCCTCCCTAGCCAACCAACTTTATATTATTGTGATGTCTGATTATTACTGCCCTACTAATTTCTTTAATGCCTAATGTCGTCTGAATCACCCTATTTCTCAAAATTTTTCGGGGGGTGCGCCCCCCCTAGCCTCCCAACTTTGTATTATTGTGATGTCTGATTATTACTGTCCTACAAATTTCTTTAATGCCAAATGTCGTCTAAAACACATTATTTCTCAAAAATTTTCTGGGGGGCTGCGCCCCCCCCCCCCCCCCCGGCCCCCCAATTTTATATTATTGTGATGTCTGATTATTACTGTCCCCAAATTTCTTTAATGCCAAATGCCGTTTTAATCACCCTATTTCTCAAAAATTTTCCTGGGGGTTCGCTCCCCTAGCCTCCTAGCCCACCAACTGTATATTATTCTGATGTATGATTATTGCTGTCCTACAAATTTCTTTAATGCCAAATGTCGTCTGAATCACCCTATTTCTCAAAAATTTTCCGGGGGTTGCGCCCCCCAGCCCACCAACCTTGTATTATTGTAATGTCTGATTATTGCTGTCGTACAAATGTCGTCTGGAACACCCTATTTCTCAAAAATTTTCCGAAGGCCAGGGCTGCGCCCCCCTAGCCCCCCAACTTTGTATTATTGTGATGTCTGATTATTACTGTCCTACCAATTTCTTTAATGCCAAATGTCGTCTAAAACACATAATTTCTCAAAAATTTTCTGGGGGGCTGCGCCTTCCCCCCTCCCTAGCCTCTAGCCAACCAAAGGAGCTTCGCCCCGGCTACGTGTCGTGTCGGGCTACGTGCCCAGAATCAAAAAAACTTAATCTTTAAATGAATAACGGAACCTTCATTATGAAGTTACGAGATGATAATATAATTGGGAGGCAAAGTGGTTATCGGGCTTGGGGCTCATGATGCGCAAAATTTGGCCGCTGTCGAGTTGGTCTGCCTAAAATTCACAGATCTAGCTATGGGTCTGAGACATTTGTAAAAAAAAAACCTTAGTATGTCGTGTCCAAATAATTCAACCTCATGCGCACGAAATCTAGTCTAGTACGACAAGAATTTTATAAACAAATTTATTTTTACTACCGTGTGTAATTCAGATAATTGTAAATTTTATTAATTGATGTAATTAAGTATCTTAATGGATAATGATCCTGAGGTGACGATGATTTTATTCAACTGCAGTTGATAATATGTGAAGGAATTTAGGTTGTTTTACATTTTTATTTTATCTTGTAATTAGTACCATGTAAATATTTAATGTAAAATAAGCTTTTATCCGATCCTAATGAAAAGTGCTGTTCAAAAATGTTATTTACTTCATAGATATACTTACAATTTAGCATATTTTATAAATTGCGTTGTTTTAATCTCGTTTCATATTTGCGTCAAGTTCAAATGCTTATTAAACGAGACGATCCATTCACATGGAAAATGTAACAGTTGATATAGAAACAAAATGAATTTCAAGTGCATTTGAAAAAGTGTCAAGATACGCGATCAACAATCCTAATGTAATAATGATATAATTATATTGTGCATCCCGAGTGTAATGTTACAGTTAATTAGTTTTAAACACTAATACTCTGAAATTATATCCACGTCTGCAATAATACTTCCTATTTGCTGTTCAAACCAGTTCTGAAAACTTGTTCAAACTTCAAACTTGTTTAAATAACTTGTTCAAACTTTTGCAAACTAAATCTTGATCTTGTTCTTTAGCACTTTTTTATGTGAAACACAAGTTTTTCAGTTCCGTTATGCCACCCGAATGAGCTCCACTAGTTCATATGGTTCAGATACATCAGAACCAGCCACTGCTATTGTAATAGATAACGGTTCTTACTCCGTAAAATGTGGGTTTGGTGGAGAAGATGCACCTGAAACTTGCTTTGTAACATACCATGATGTAACCAAGACGTGTGAGGACGACAACACTCTCCTTCATGAGAACTACCACTTTGTAGACGAGCGGGATTTACCATATTCTATATTGAACCCGGGTGATTTCAACAAGTACCCTGTCATCAGTGAGGGTGTTGTTAAAGATTGGGACTGTTTGGAGGCGCTCTGGGAGAAGTTCTTGCTGGAAAATAAAGTGGACTGTTCCGAACAGCCGGTAGTAATGTTGTCAGCGATTAGTAACAACAGTGCTGCTAGCACTAGGAAGTTTTGTGAGATTTCGTTTGAGAAGTTTGGGTTTAAGAAGCTTTGTATTGCAGCACCGGAGACTATGGCTCTGGTTGCTAGTGGGAAGGATATGGCTGTGGTAACAAATATCGGGTACGATAACTGTGTTTCTGTGCCGACTATCTGCCCACTGAATGGTTTTAAGAAAAAAGTTACACGTAGGTTTTCCTAATCTCTCCTTTTCTTTATGTGCGCTTTTCTTTTCTTATAGGAAACAGCAATTTCAATTTTTTTCAACAAGATGTGAAATTTGGGACTGTACTGGGTTTCTGTTAGATTTGTATATTTATTTGAATTAAGTTCAATTAAATTCATCATAATATCAAAATTTAGATAATATTGTTAATTCTTTATCAGGCGAAGCTAAAACCGAAGATGTCAAGATATTCCCAGTAAAAGTGGGTGGCAAGCATGTCAGTGAGTACATAAAACACGCTCTAATAAACACACACCACCTAGAAGACAACACCAACCTGACCCACATAGTTGAGGACATCAAAACACGTCACTGTCACGTGACACCCTGGGGAGCAGACCCACGTGACGACTGGTCTCCAGAGCAACAGTACACTCTTCCTGACAACACCACCATCTCTCTCACCGACCTGGTCAGAGACAGCACCGGGGGGGGGGGGGATCTGTTTTAGTACCCGAGATGAGGACAGTGGTATGAACATTGCTGACTCCTTGTGTAGGAGTGTGGTGAGGAGTTCTTTACATAACCAGGGTTACAGTTCACATACCATGTGGGATAACATGGTGAGTACGGGGGAACTTCACGAATTTCCAAACCCGGGATGCAGGATGCCCACGTGGAGGTTCGAATACAGAGTGATCCAGGTAAATTCTTTTGTAGAAATTCTTTAAAGTTATGTTTTGTGATCCTGATATTATTATACACTTTTCCAATGTGCTGGGTATCTGATAACAGTGATTTAATTTACTGTATTCAGGTGCTAGATTCAGGACGGTAGCAGCGCCTGAACGTAAATATTCCCCATGGATTGGGGCATCCATTTTCAGTTCTCTGTCCGGGTTTGGGGATTATGGTTTATCTAATTTGGACTTCGAAGAACATGGGCCTGATGGAATGGAGATACTGTAATGGATGTTTGCTTTCAGTGAGTTGCTTCAATTTATTTACAATCAGTGTTGGGATAATTGTGGTCAAATTAATTTGAGTGTGGTAACCCTGCACGATTATGATTCATATTTTGTATTTTAGACCTTGATTATTAGAAACACTCCTCCAATTTCGTTATTTTTGCTTGAATTATAAGCTTTTCAATTTTGAATAGTTTTCTACAATATTAAATTTTGTGTGAGTTTTGACTTGATGTATATTATATCAATTTGAGTAAAGATTGGCTGGAACTCCGGGCCAATTGCCCAATGCCCCCAGTTTTAAAAGTTGGGCAATTGCAAGACCAGTGAAACTTGCAAATATTTCTAAAATATATGCAAAATAAATATTCCATAATATTGGTCGTCCCAAATATCACTTCCTATTTGCTGCTCCTAAACTTGTTAACATACTGGGCATGTTCTGCACAGTCACGTTTCACTGGTATTTGTTAACAACTAAATCTTGTAATTCAGCGCTCATTGTTACTACAAACACGTACAACAAGCAGTTTTATTGTGTACAAGTGATGACGCTGCTATACTGAGTTATTGCTTGCCCTATAATTGCTGAGCTCCATTACTTACCAAACTGATATGGTTTTTTGCCAAGATTCGCCCTCTTTTGATTTTTGATTTTATCAAAATACATCGATAGTATTTTAAGTCGCTGCATTATTAATAAACTTGCCATTATTAACTTGTCACATTATGAAATAATGATAATAAGCTTTGTGGATTTGATATTATGAACTTGTAGCTTTGTGGATTTTGATATCATGAGTGTAGCTTTGTGAATTTTGATATAATTACGAGTGTAGCTTTGTGGATTTTGATATAATTACGAGTGTTGCTTTGTGGATTTTGATATAATTACGAGTGTAGCTTTGTGGATTTTGATATAATTACGAGTGTTGCTTTGTGGATTTTGATATAATTACGAGTGTTGCTTTGTGGATTTTGATATAATTACGAGTGTTGCTTTGTGGATTTTGATATAATTACGAGTGTTGCTTTGTGGATTTTGATATAATTACGAGTGTTGCTTTGTGGATTTCGATATTATGAACTTGTAGCTTAGTGGATTTTGATATTATGAGTGTAAGATTTCTGTAATTTAGTTATTAGCTGAATACTGTAATAAACACCTTGTGGTTGATTCTCTCGTATTTCTACTCTTGTAGATAATATGTCCTGTTTCTCGTGTTGTGTTCAATATAGCGTACTCTACAATCTAGATCTATAAAATGGAGTAAGAGTTACTGGTATGGGGGCGACAGCCTCTTATCTCTCCGCATAGTTTCTAGTTGTGCTAACTAACAATGGAGTCTGAGGTCTGCTTAACATCAACTTGTAGAACTTATCAATTAAAATTGTCTCATTCATCTCCTATTATAAGATTACATTCACACATGTCACATTTGATAGTTGAACGGCATGAGATTAGTGGAAAACAAACGAACGAATAAACTTCAAGTTGAAGTTGTTTTGAACTTTGGCAATGAACCTTATTACCTGACCACTGACCACTGACCAGTATACACTATACAGTATACACCAGTATAGTATACACTATACAGTCTATACACTACACGGAGCTAGGAAGAGTCTGTTTCCATGCAGTCTCACCCTAGTAGCCTCATCAAGCAGGTGCTAAAAACGTACGACATTTACGGTTAGTGTCAGATTGGTGTTGAGATTGCCTCTCATGGGCCAAATTCCTGAGATCAATCAAACATTCGAAGCATGGAATTGATTAATCATAAAATATAAAACTGTCTGTTCAATGTTCCTATTACATAAGGTTTATTTTAGGTCTTATAAATTCACCAAGCAGTAAACGTTGTAACTTTATTAAGTTATACTGACATAGATGATGGAGGCTAGGACATTGTATGGATTGCAGCCATCGATTGTGTTTGAAGCGTCCGTTCACATTTTGCGTCACAATTACTCAGCAGCAAAAGACGTCGCATCAGGTAACTAGTTTTATTTTTTAGGTCTGTTTGAAAGTTTGGATTCCGCTTGTAACAACTTGTCCGAATCGTTTTTTTTAAAGAAAAAAATGCGCAACTATAATATGTATCATTAATTTATTATGCATACTGATTACTGTCATATACAAATCTTTCATAGCTTCTCAAGAGTGCTGTTAAATCAGTAAATATCACTTTTTATAGAATTAAGCTTATTATGGTATGGTAACTAAGCTCAAATTCAGGCAAACTACAAAAATTGTCCGGTGTCGAAGAATTGCTCGGAACTTCTCAAGATAATCCTGATAACACTGTCTTGTTATGGATAGACGGAAAGAACAACTTTGTCCCACCCAACATTGACCATTTGTTCGAGCGTGCGTTCCTAGAACTGAACCTGAGAAACCCCGAAACCCTTTCAAAACTCGGATTTCTTGAGCTAGCTGGCATTAAAAACCAAAACGGATACCTTCAAGAATCTCCTTCCGATCACCACGAGGAAGTGCTAAAGTTATCCAGTGAATACATGCTATCTGCGCTGGAAGAGAATTGGTGGGAAAATTTAAGTTCTGAACAAGAGCTTTCTCGAAAAATCCTAAAATGGAGAGTTGAGAATAGCAACCGCGATTTCAGAGATCACATTTTTCCAATTTCACTGACCTTTACAAGTGACCTTAAACAGTTCATTGTCCTTATGATCGGTAATCCTGTCGTAGGAAGTATTCCTGATGTTGACTTGTACATTCACCGATTGCAATCATACAAAATGAAGTTTGAACTGATTGCCTGTGACATTCGCAAGAAGCGAGAAATCGGAGTGATGGTTACCAAGTTTTGTCTGGAAAACATTGTGAGTGTCATCCAAGGACTAATCGAAAATCTTAATACCGAAAACAGTAACTTGGTGCTTGCAGTTAAGGGTAAATACAAAAAAGCCTCAAATGTTGATTTACCCGAAGATAAGATTGAACAAATTCGATCGACGATCAAGAAATATGTCCTGCCAGGATTTGAGGAAATTCTTGACGAAGTTAAGATCTGTATCCCTTACTCCTCTGACACTGCTGGAATTTGGGGACTACCCCGAGGAGACGAATTCTACAAACACATTTTAAAATGGCGCACTTCAACTGATTATACTCCCGAAGAATTGCACCAAATCGGGCTGGATAATGTGAAAAAGCTTCTGGAAGGTGTTCAAGCTGTCGTAAAACAGCTCAATGAAAAAGGGGACACGATTTTTAATGATGAAAACTCCCCTGAAGAAAATCTGAGGATTCTTTCGGTGGATGAGAAGTTTCAATATGAAGATAATGAAAAGGGGAGGGAGGAATGTATTAAAGATTATGAACGTTTATTAGATGAAGTCACCGATAAAGTGAGACACTTATTCAACATGGTTCCTCCTAATCGGTGTATCATCCAGCCAATGCCTAAAGAAATGGGAGGCAGCCTTGGTGCTGCAGGTATTTACTATGAAGGTTCCTTAGATTTAACGAGACCTGGAATGTTTTTGGCCAATCTGACTAATTTGAAGCGTCATAATAAAAGTGGAATGAAAACCTTGACTGCTCATGAAGCGGTTCCTGGACATCACTACCAGGTATATATAATTCTATAAGTTAATAACATTATGTTTTTAAACTCAATTTGTTTTATATACTACTGCTAGTAATTTACATTAAATGTACATTTTATTCCTGATTGGATCCACATACTTTGTTTGTCAGTGAAATTATGATAAGCTGATGATCTCAGTGCTCAATCGAGAGGGAGAACTTAAAGTTGCCCTATTTTCGGAGATGTAGAGGGTTTGGAATGTTCGCTGCGTTTTCTGAAGGATGGGGTTTATATGCTGAACATCTTGGTAGAGAGGTGAGACCCTTGTATTTGTCTAAATTCCAGATGAAAATTCCCCAAAAATAATGCTGCATTCGATTTTGAAAGTTATCGGTATTTTTAATCGATATGGGAATTGTGCCGCATGTCAACTACCTGTATTTTCTTTTCAGACGGGGTTCTACAGAGAAGATGATGGAAGTGAGGGTTACAGTGTGTTGGGTTACTACTGTGCTCAGCTACTCCGTTCTACCAGACTGGTTGTGGACACTGGTATACACGCCTTCAAATGGACTAGACAACAGGTTTCTATATATAATATTATAATTATCGATTTTAATTTAATATATTGTGTCTTTGTGTGGATTTTAGGTGGCGATTGTTTCGAAATATCATGAATTGTAATGATTTCAAATTTATTACTCAACAGGCAGTAGATGTGATGGTTCAGAATACCGGAATGGATAGGATTGTAGCTGAGGCAGAAGTGGACCGTTACTCTTCCCTTCCTGGACAAGCTTGTGCATACAAGGTATCTTCTAGAGTACTAGATCTGCAATATTGAGAACGATAAATTACGTTAATATTTGCAATATTTTATATTTGATACACGTCCTGTCTTCCCTGTTAAAACCTATTACAATACTAATTGTTTAGATTTTAGTCCACGATTGCTATGGCTATTATTATGTTTTAACGCAATGACGCGTAACTTTGTAACTTTGTAACCTTGTATTTTCAAACAGGTTGATTTTGATATTCTCCCTTTTTCATTACGTGTAACCAGTGAAAGTATAATGCTGTTAGGCGCTTAATTTTAACACAATTCTCAGATAGGGCAGCTGAAAATATTGGAGATAAGGGAGAAGTTGGAAGAACGGCCAGACTTTGATATCAGGAAGTTTCACGACAGAATACTTGATATTGGAGCCGTTCCTCTGGACATATTGGAGGAGGTTATGCTGTAAAGTGTAAACACGAGTGTAACTGTAACTTAAGGTTTTTATAAACTTTACATTTTACGATCGTTATTTTATATATCCGTATTTGTAGTTATTCTAATGTTGAACCTCCAGCCTTCTATGTGGGCTATGAAATTTGTTGTAGTTGAATTTTTACCTTTTTAGAACTTTGCAATTATTTACTGATTTAAATTCTGTAGTGTTAGTTTTTGTTGTTATATGGTACAATTTAATATAATATAACATGATAATATTTATGAATATGTTGCTTTAGTACTTTTGTCTCGCGAGTTAGGTGTTAATTTACCCAATTCATTTCTTTAAAAGAAGCCATTAAAAATGAAAAAGTACTTTTTAGTTTGAAAAGGATTCTTATATCTTTACCTAAATTCCGCAATTCAAATTGCCACTATAATTAGTGTTTAATTTAAACACGGGTATTCTCATGATCTATATTATTATTATTAATAGATCTATTACACCGACTCGGTTACTCGTACCTTAATATTTGGCTATGTTATAGGACCTCATGACGACTGTAAGAACACTGTACGGACTGAAGCCCTCGGTGGTGTTTGAAGCCTCTGTTCACATTCTCCGCCAGAACATCCCTGCTGCTAAAGATATCGTCTCAGGTAATGACCGGAGTTATTTAGTTTTGGTTTCAGTTACCGTTTCACAAGCAGCCGTATAAAGAAACTTGATGATTTGTTTTGGCTAATCATTTATGACACTCATGTTTAAATTAAACTCGATTTCAGGCAAACTACAAGAATTTTCCGGTGTTGAAGAATTGCTCGGGACTTCTCAAGATAATCCTGATAACACTGTCTTGTCATGGATAGACGGACAGAACAGCTTTGTGCCACCCAACATTGAAAAGTTTTTCGAGCGTGCTTTCCTACAAATGAACTTGAACTTTCCCGAGATTCTTACGTTCATGGGGTTTCTTGAGCAAGCCGGCATCAAGAACCATAACGGATACCTTCAAGAATCACCGTCCGATCACCACGAGGAAATCTTAAAACTGTCTAATGATTATTTACTCTCTGCACTAAATGACAATAGATGGGAAAATTTAAGTGGTGATCAAGAGGTTTCTCGAAAAATGCTGAAGTGGACCGTCGAAAACAGTAATCGTACGTTCAGAGACCACATTTACTCCATGAGCCAAATGGACGGAGCTCACACCCTATTTGTAATGCTGATGTCCCACTTTGCTGTGATACAAGACGATGCCGATGTCGAGTTTTACATGAATAGACTGGAACAAGCTAAGATGAAGTTTGATCTGATTGCTACAGCCATGCAGAAGAAGCGTGAGTTGGGAGTGTTGCCTCCTAGGGTTTGCCTTGAAAAAGTTGTCCGATCTATTGAGGGGATTGTTACGAATCTCAAAACAGAAAACAACAATCTGATAACAGCAGTTTTAGAAAAGTACAAAGCAGCAACGAAAAATGATTTGTCGAAGGATAAAGTTGAGAGTATTCGAGCTAAGATCAATGACTACGTCTTGCCTGGATATGAAGTAGCATTGGCAGAGGTTAAAAATTGCATCGCCAACTCTTCTGATGATGCTGGCATTTGGAAACTACCTCGTGGAGCTGCATATTATGAACATTGCTTGAAATGGCAGACCACTACCGATTACACTCCTAAGGAAGTACATGAGCTTGGTCTTCATCACTGTAAGAAATTTCTGGATGGTGTTCAGAGTGTGGTGAAACAGCTTAATGATAAAGGAGACATGACTCTCAACGCTAACAACTCCCCGGAGGAAAATCTTAAGATAATCGGTGAAAATGAAAAGTTCCTGTACGAAGACACAGATGAAGCAAAGGAAGAATGTATTAAAGAATATGAGCGATTGTTGGTTGGAATCACCGAAAGGACAAAAGATATGTTCAACATTGTTCCATCTAGTACGTGCATAATTAAACCCATGCCTCAAGCTATGGGAGAAGGTGGAATGGGCGCTTGCTATTTCCCCGGTTCTTTGGACTTAACGAGACCTGGAATGTTCTTTGCTAATGTAGTTAACATCAAGTCTCAGAATAAGAGCCAAATGAAAACTTTGACTGCTCATGAAGCTGTTCCCGGTCATCATTTCCAGGTATGTACATGTTTCCAGATATCCTGAGGTATTTTGGTCGGGTTCTTTAACTAAATAAATCACCTCAAAAGTACCCTGATTCTATATTATGATGAAATAATTGAATAATGTGTACACTGTACATGTATTTCGATTAGTTTAATTGATTTTTGTTAATTATATTGACCGCTGCATCATATCTCATAAGTTTGCAGAGTCTAACCCTATTTATATTGTAGAGACCTTTGGCAGGATATTTGTCTCGTTAACAATAACACGATACCTTTAATTTGTATAAAAGCTTGTCTTTGAAGACGTGTATTTGCTGACGTGTCTTATTTTCTGACGTGTTTATTCTGGAAATCCCTTTTGCTACAGTACAGTATTAGAGAATCTAAAACCCCATAACTTTCTTTCAGTGCTCGTTGCAGTTAGAGAACGAGAAACTTCCCTACTTCCGAAGATCCTGTGACGAGGACAGATATACTGCGTACATTGAAGGCTGGGGACTGTATTCTGAATACATTGGAAATGAGGTAGATACATACACTTAATACTTTCAACAGTACTATATAATTATAACAAATAATTTGAGGAAACGATGTAACAGAGACCAGAGTCAATAGATTTTAATGTTGCCATGGGGTGGCAAATCCCCATGCATCGTGGTCCGGTAGTTTCATTGCGTCTTAATATTGTAATGATAAATTATGACATTACACTGATTTTATTCTTAGTCTGCTTAGTTTTGGTAGAAGGGAATCAACCGGACATATCTTTGGAGCTGTGATTGGTAACTGTTATCTGCCTGTTCTCTGACTGTTATCTAACTGTTATCTAACTTTTATCTGACTTTGCAATCCTTTTCTTTTCAGACGGGGTTCTACAGAGAAGATGATGGAAGTGAGGGTTACAGTGTGTTGGGTTACTACTGTGCTCAGCTGCTGCGTTCTACCAGACTGGTTGTGGACACTGGTATACACGCCTTCAAATGGACTAGGGAGCAGGTTTCTATTTTTTTATAACATTCCAATCAACTTGTAACTTGGATACCATTAGAAAGGCAGCTTGTAGTCGTAGATAACTTTTAAAGCTTAATTGAGAACGAATTATATATATTAACACAATGTGCCATTTAAATAAGTTACACGAGTAAATATTGAAACTGGATACGCCTAATAAAGCTTATATAATATAATCATTAACAGGGAATTGAGCTGATGATGAAGAACACGGGGATGGCCAGAAAAGAAGCAGAGGATGAAGTTGACAGATACTGCGTGCTTCCTGGCCAGGCGTGTGCTTACAAGGTAAAATAAATATAACAGGCTTATTAATTAAAGAGTTAAAGGTTCTAAATTATGACCGTTATTTCAAATTAATACCAACTTCATTAATTCTGACTTTATTTTATTTTTCAGATTGGCCAGCTCAAGCTATTGGAGATAAGGAAGAAGTTGGAAGAACGGCCAGACTTTGATATCAGGAAGTTTCACGATACCGTACTTGATATTGGAGCCGTTCCTCTGGATATTTTGGAGGAGGTTATGGTGTAGGCTTTAAGCTATCACAGAATATTTCTTTTTTTGTTGCTATGAATTAATGTTTTCCTTTAACATTGATTAAGTTTAACATTGATTAAGTTTATATATTATCTGTTTTATTTAAAAACATGTGCATGACGTAATGGTGTTTCATTAAATTAATAAGTTATTCAGTATTCATTTTGGGCCATTTTAAGTTAAATTCATGAATTTGTTTCATACATGATTGACATAATATTCGATTTCAAATAATTTATTTCATGGCATGGGAGATGTTGTTTTTATCTGATGGTCCAAGTTTTCATATAGCATCAATAATTCATTGACCATCTTTCACATTGAGCATTAAAAATTAATTCTTGAATTATAGATTCTTCGGAAGGTTTTAAAGGCAACTTTTTCAAACAAACAATCTATATACGAACAATCTTCTCAGGAAAGTTACATTACATGGCAGATATCCTCCGAGTCACTTCAGCCGCACTAGATTCCTTACTAAGCGCCTCATCCTCCTCTACCTCCGTTACAAATCAGAGTTTCAATCGCCGACTCAAGGTCTCTGGCAAGCATGTCAAGGAAATATCACTAGAGGAAGTCTTGCGAAGAAGTCAGGATGAAGGAATTAACTTGGCAGAATTTCTGAACAATCAACCTGCAAATTCTTCTGCTAACGAACTTCATTTCAACACCGAACATAGGACCGTTACTCCGAGTAAGTCAGTCTTGGTGGGTAATTTTGTCGATGATGAGTCTCGACATTTAGTTGCCCCGAGTGCAGACAGCTCCGAATACATTTCTATTATTGACGTGGGAAAGTCTTTGTCAACAACAAACAGTCTCTCTTTAAGTAGCAAGGATTCCTCCCATTTAAAGAGTCTAACTCTGATGTAAGTATGGATAAAACCCTACGAGACACTGTTGATCTCATACCCGTTAAAGAATCCAGTGGCAGGAAAGACACATCTGCAGCAACTAGCAATGTCTCCTCGTTGAAGACAGCAGAAGTTGTTGATGCTAGCACACCTAATTCGGCCCGACACAAAGAAGCTACTCTTGGCGAACCAGAAGTTTCGAATATTAACTCAGATCATTCTCTGGGTCGTCTAAAAACTCCAGACATGTCAGACCAACCACCAGCCCTCCCACCTCTACATCTTCCACTGAGGGGTCTGAAACAAGGGTCCTTGGGTTCAGTTGAGTCTACAAAGGAACAACCCGTTCCAGATATTGAGGTGAAATCACTTTCAAGTGCTCACTCAAGCACAGCCCGCCAGATGTTACAAGGGACTAATGGTCCAACAAAGCGAGGAGCTGTTGCAGTACAAAGGATCAACCCTCCACCTGCCCCTGCTCCAGTAGCTGATCAAACTTCCCAGATCGCGGCTGCAGTGGCAGCGGCCGTAGCTGCTACGACTCCCTACTATCAGTTGAAAGCAGAAATGGAGATGAAACTCGAACAGCTCACCGCTGAACTACAGAGGCAGAATGCCCCGAAGATAAATAAATCTGATTCTAAAGATGCAGTAGAAGTTTCAGCTCCATCGGATGGAGCAAACGATTCGCTAGATATAACTGTGGTTCCTGAAAATGATGAGAAAGAAGATATTGGTTTGCCAACTCCGATTCACCCTAGAGTCGCACCTAAGCCACGATCTCACAGAAAAGCGAGAGAAAGATCAGGCATGCAGGGTTCCCAAGAAAAAAATTTTGGGGTTTTAATGTTTAGAAAAAAATTGGGGAAAAGTTAGGTTAGTTCTGATGAACCTGTCACTAAACGTGTAACAGCTGAATCTTTAAGGTCTCAGTTTGAGGAATCTGCTGATGAAACTCAACAAAGTGTTTCGAATCCTAAATTTATAAATCGGACAAACGAGTATGAGTTGATGAGAAAAGACTTGGTCAACCTGCTGAATGAGGCAAGGAATGCAAAGAAAGAGATTGAAGATATGAGACATACTGAAAGAATGCAAGGTTTGAGAACCACTGTGAGGAGCGAGGCTCCTGCTGATGTTTACTTAGAGAGGATCAGAGAACGTGAGGATAAACTCTTCAAACCGAGGTACTCTGCTAGCGAAAGAGAATACAAAACCCCTGCTTATATCCTCCAAGCTAAAGATACTCTGCATGAGATCGAAGAAAAGAGAAGTTCGGTTGAAAGAAAAGGCTATCCCTTGGACTCAACCTACCTTTGCGAAGAGCAATCGCCTGAGGACGAGAAAATCTCTAAAAGGATTTCAGAAATCTTGGACAACATTCAAAAAGAGGTAAAGTCCACGAATCCTAAGAAAACTGTAATTAAAGCTGAACCGCCTAAACCAATAAAGCGGAAACCTAAACCAAACACAAAGCTTGCTGAGAAAAAGGCTCTTTACAACAAGCTACGATCTGAAAATCAGTACCATAACATCCAAGCCAACATAGGCAGACTAAAAGAAGAAGAAAAGGTAATGCGACCCGGACCAAGAGCTGGCGAAGATAAAAGTAGTTACCAGTCACCTTACAAACGGTCAGGTTTACCTCAGAGTTTCCCCCTTGCTCCCCTTCCTAGAAGTTTTCCTCTGGATCCCCCTTCATTTCAGAATCAGAGCACTCCTTTACGCACATTGAGACAACAAATCTCAACTCAAACATCCTTTGTGGCAAGGGAAACTTTTAATTCAAATCAGTACTCAAAACCTTCCACCAGAGACGTCTCAGTGTACCCCACTCCTACTCCGAAACATGCTAGATCAACAGTGCTCTCCACTTAAAATACCTACACAAGATAAATCTCAGAGTTACACTCCTCTTCCTTCTGAAGAAGATACAACATACAGCTACGAGGAGAGTGAGAGAGACCTGTTTATGGGGGTTGTAGATCTACCTCGGAGTGTCACTATCTCTGGGGTTAAGAGGATACCTCCCCCTGTCGACAAGTACTCTGCTAAACTTATCAGTGACAGACATCCGACAAAAACGTCTTTTCACCCTACTACAAACGAAGACAAAGTTTCAGTGATGCAATGGTTAGAGGAAGCAATTCTTGAGAAATTGTTAACCGATTCACCCGAGAAGACTGCTGCACAAGATGAGGTTTCACAGATTCTCGGAGAAGACGTGATGAAAGCGATCTCAGATCTCGGTTTGGGACTGTCTCCTGATCAGTTGCACGGGTTGATGTCTGAGATTATTAAAGAGCAGGTCGAGGAGAGGATATCACATTGTATCACTGAAGAGAAACCTCCGAAACCAGCTTCTCCTGAGCAGCAGACATATCCAGGAAATGACAGTAAACCAACATACGATGAATCATTTGAATCATCTTCATCATCCTCCTCCAGCAAGTCCTCCTTATCCCCAGCTGTAACCCCCAGTTTCACTGAGACAGAGGAACCTTCCGCATCACTCTCCCATATCTCTGAAGTGTCGTACATGTCTCCACTTAGGTCTCCAGTCTTCACTCCTCCTCTCAGCCCCGAGGTTGTCTCCGTTAGTGATCACACCAAGTCACCTGCTCTACCTGAAGGTGTCCCTCAATCAGCTAAAGTTATGGTGAAGAAACAACCACCTACGTATTTCAATGATACGCTGGAACAGGTACCACTTGATTTAACTGACGAGTTTGTGGATCCTGTAACTGTTTTCACTCCAGATTTGACATCATTACAGCAGGACAACACCCTGTCTTTGGAGGGTACTACAAAAAGGTCTGCTCTCGGACCATTCACCCCCCTAAACACTGTACAGGACCCAGTTTTAGATGATTCTCTAATATCGCAGCACCCTCTAGATGTCACGAATCATTCAGTCATTTCTCAACATCCGCTCGAACTGACAGCCTTATCAGAAAATATAGACATCCCTCCAACAGTCGAGCCTGAAGACTCGTCAGCATCATCCACCACGATGTCTTACACAGAGACAACAGATCACCCTATTTCAGCCGGGGAGATACTGCCAGGTATGTTGCCAAGAGAGATAACTCAGCAGGTGTTTACAGGACCATTAAGTGAGGGTGAGTGGCCTCTCTCCCCCAGAGCAACTGACTTCCTGCAACTTGTCAAGGATCCAGACATCAGAGAGCTGCTAGAACAGCGAGTAAACGCGACTAGGAGTCCGGGATACGCCTTATTCCACCCTCAAGATGACACTATACCTGAGGAAATGGTATCACCCTTAAGGGACGAGGGCAATCTCCAAAGATCTGATCTTGAAGCGGGACCTTCACGAACCTTACCACCAGCTCCGAGAAGAGTTTCTCTGCCAACCCCTAGCCCCCGGCCCAGAACGCAAAGTTTGGAACATTTGGAGACCCTGGAACTTGTCACCCCTCTACCAGATGGAGATGATGGGAGAGTGGGCAGTCCTTCTCCTCCACCCTTTATGGGACTACAGCTAGAGGACTATGAGTTTTCTGGCGAGGAAAGTGTCACCAAGTCTGATAAATCTGATGATAGTTTTTGAAAGAGAGACTTTTTCATTTAAATATATTTATTTATACTGTGACAACTATTGTTGCATTCCTCCCTAAAAGGAAAACCATTGAATCCTTCTGACAACCAAGTGCTTCAGTCATGTTGGTTTATATGAACAATGAACATTAATTGAGGTGATAACACGAGTACACATGACTCTTTTAAATCTCATTTCTAAAATGTTTTTAATTCAATCTTGATATGTTTGACAGGACACGGTATTCAGCACATAACATTTACAGATCTATACATTTTACCGTTTTATCAGACGTTTGCTTATGCATAAGCACCACAGTATTGAATTATTTATTCGTAACTTATTCAGAATTGTTCATTCTACAGAACTGTACAGTATTATATTTATAAACATATTTATAAATACATTTTGATACCACATTATCTTGAAATAAATTTCAAACTTGTTTAATGGACCCTTTCTTCCTAATTTATCTTTACATCTTGTTACTTAGTATCTATCAAGCATTCTGTATTGCTGCAACCTTGAAAAAGTATACACACTAAACTTGATTACCAGATCACCCAATACATTTGTTAGTAATTTGAACCAACATATCTTTCTAGTCCGATGATGGATTCAGATGTCCGGATATTACCCGATTCTGATGTCGATATAACGAAATCACGATGGGGAGATCTGACCTTCTATACTAGATTCCGCCACTTCTTTAAGCTTACAGATCCTACTAACTGTTTAAAGGGCAATAAGAAACTTGATGAAGCTCAGGATATTGTGAAACAATACAAGTATGTTTTATAATATACAAGTGTGTTTAATGTTCCATAATCCCACTAACCGATCATGTCATACTGTCTTTCTATATTGAGTCATCAACTCAACTTTTAGCATCAAGTTTTCAATCTCAAATTGGATACCATTCAGTGAGCAACCACTTCATCCGGTAATCCAGTAACCAGCTTAGACGGGTTACTTTAATAATAATAATATGTTAATAAATTGACTAAAACCCCTCACAGATCTGACGGTACAATGCCAGTAGGAGGGGTGGAGGCTCTATGGAGTGCTAAGTACCTGTACGAGAGTGCCTTCCACCCGGAAACAGGAGACAAGCAGAATGTTATCGGCAGAATGAGTTTCCAGGTTCCAGGTGGTATGGTAATTACTGGTATTCTCATGGCTTTCTACAAGTAAGTAGGCTTAGTTTACTGCTGAGTGTTAAATCAAGTACCTGTGTTTATCAAGTCTCGACTGTTTGAATGGTGAATATGGCGATGATCACGCCGTCCTGAAAATAGTTTTTTCATCCGAATAAATTTATTTCAGGAGCCCGTTGGAAGTGTTTCTAGGGCAGTGGTTGAATCAGTCGTTTAATGCTCTAGTCAACTTTACTAACCGTAGTGGAGACAAGCCGCTTCCAAACAGTGTCATACTGTCTGCTTACTTCGCAGCTACATCTCTAGCTACTGGAGCTTCTATTGGTTCGTTATTTCTGCATATTATGATATTTTGAAAACATGCCATCGTCCATTCCTTAACTTGCTTATAATGTTTTAAGTTCGCTTGATTTTGTTTATTTAAATCTAACGATCCAAAATGTACCAGAGATGTCTCCAATATTGCAGGAATCCATAATTATTGTAGGATTCCAATTCCCCAAATTTTTCAGGTCTAAACAAGACTCTAGCTCCTCGAGCACCTCCAATAGTTGGACGTTTTGTTCCCTTCATTGCTGTGGCTGTAGCTAACATGGTTAACATTCCTTGTATGAGATCTCAGGAACTTAAAGGTACCGTTCTACTCCAAAGAGAGTGTATTGTAACGATTAAACTAGAATTTAAAGAAACACATAGCACCCGTTTAAAACATTGTCATTATCATTGGGGGCCTGAGTATGTTTTTATATTGTTGCTCTTGCAATTAACATTGTCTCTTTGTTTAGAAGGAGTAGTGATAGTGGACGCTGAAGGTAACAAGTTGGGACAAAGTGTTACCGCAGCTCAGCGGTCCATTGTGTCAACTACATTCTCAAGGATCTGTATTGCTGCTCCGGGAATGTGTAAGTTTAGAGTTTTACAAGTCATAATAAGTATATGATATTAGTCATAATTGTAATTGGAGCAACAGACGTATAGAATAATAGTGCAGTTTGTTTTTATCATATATACTAATCTGACCTCGTGTCCCCACCCAGTGATGACGCCTATAATAATGGAACAGTTGGAGAAGAAGCCGGCTATAAAGGCGCTCTCAAAATGGAAGAATTGTGTGCTCCAGACTCTACTGGTGGGGAGTTTCCTTTTGATTGCCGTTCCTGTAGGTTGTTCACTCTTCGCTCAAGTACAGGTTGGTCATTGGGTGCAGCAAATGTGTTTCGTTTTTTCTGAACAGCAGTAATTACAGCGATTTGGGGTTACACTGACAACCCATAATTGTTATGAATAAACAGCTCTTGTTTTATAAGGATTCAGTCTATAAGCCAGTGCTATATTTTCAGAGTATTGCTGTGGACGATTTAGAAGACGATCTTAAGAAAGCTATTTTAGCTAAGGATAGTAGCTTGAAGACTGTTTATTATAATAAAGGACTTTGATTGATGTAACAGCCGGTGTATAATTTATTATTTTGGGACATTTGTTTAGGAGAGTTTTTATTAGACGAGTTTTTTATTCTCTTGTATGATACTCTAATATTTTTATTGCTCACTTTCAAAAATTATTGAAAATTGATTGTTTTTATGAAGCGATATGTTTATAAGTTTATAAGTTTTAAGGATTTCTAACCATGGTATCATATTGGATATGATTATTTCTATGGTAACTGGTTTATTAGATGTGCTTTTATCTTGTTCGGCATCTTCTTAATAATACTTACAAGCATCAAGCATGCCGTCGAAGTGCGGTCGAAATTGTCATAAAATTACAATCTTTCCATCAGTGTTTTCTGATTTCAAAAATTTGATATGAATGATTAGAAAGAACATCTCATACGATTTCGATTGTAGTATTGTGAATTGTCAATGTATAATGGTGATAGTCGCTAAAAACAGAGTTGCGGCATTAAAAGAATCTGAAAGCGCGAACTCTAAGTGACGTCGGGCTATATAAAGTTTTACTGTTAGAGCTGTTTGTTTGCGCGCACCAATTAAATATGAATGATATACCTTACAAGACATATTTATGGCGGCCTAATTTGCGACGACCGAAATTTTGGCGGTCCGAAAATATGGCGAAATTGAACAAAAACCGTCAAATTTCGGACGTCACAGAAAATAAGGGTATTTTTCATCATTTTTTGTGACAGTAAGCAGTAAAGAAATTTCTGAAATTCGGTAAAATCATGTTCAAACTTAATCTGTATTAAGACTGTAAGACTTTCATGTTAGCACATACATGTATTTTAATGCAAATTTAAACTGTATTGCTTGACATTCAATTCGTCATTGGTGTTGTGATAATTTGTCCCAAGTAGTCATGGATCTGACGACATTCCCGTCTATATAACTTCCGCCCCGGGGTTTGAGACTTGGAATACCTCAAGGGACCCATTAGAAACAAATTTGGCTTGGGTAGAAATTTTGGCTATGGTGCAGTTTTGCGCAATCGACCACGCCCTTTTTTGGCGCTTTTGCAACTTTAGAATCAAAATAACTCCGCTTCTAATTGGAATTAGAAGCTCAGCTTGGCTTTAAAGTTGTTCAGAAGCATCTTATTTAGGGGGGTAGAGCATAATTTTAAAGTCAACAGACATCAGGTTGTTGAGTTATGTGACCACACCCTTATTTACCCTCGCGAGTCGTGATTTTCACACTAAATACGAGATATCTCGGCTTCTGATTGAGCTACGTGCTCATCCTGGGCATTAAAATTTTCAGAATCATCACATTGAGTAGGGTAGACCACAATTTCAAAGTCCTCAGATGTCAGGTTGTCGAGTTATTAGGCCACAACCTGTTTTTACGCTCTCGCGGGTAGCGATTGCAGCGCTTAAAATCAAAATAACTCAGCTTCCAATTGAAGTTAGGAGCAAAACTGGGGCAGCAAAATGTTCACAATCATCACATTAAGTGGGGTAGAACGTAGTTTCAAAGTCCTCAGACGTCAGGTTGTTGAGTTATTAGGCCCCACCCAAATGTTTACGCTCTCGCGAGTCCCGATTCGACGCTTAAAATCAAAATAACTCTGCTTCTGATTAGAGTTAGGAACTAAACTTGGGCATAAAAATGTTCAGAATCATCATATTGAGTGGGGTAGAACGTAGTTTCAAAGTCCTCAGACATCAGGTTGTTGAGTTATTAGGCCCACACCATAGTATTTACGCTCTCGCGAGTCGCGAGTGGACACTTAAAATCAAAATAACTCTGCTTCTGATTAGAGTTAGGAACTAAACTTGGGCATAAAAATGTTCAGAATTATCATATTAAATGGGGTAGAACGTGGTTTCAAAGTCTTCAGGCGTCAGGTTGTTGAGTTATTAGGCGGAACCCTATTTTTACGCTCTCGCGAGTGGACACTTAAAATCAAAATAACTCTGCTTCTGATTAGAGTTAGGAACAAAAGTTGGGCATGGAAATGATCAGAATTATCATATTAAGTGGGGTAAAACGTGGTTTCAAAGTCTTCAGACGTCAGGTTGTTGAGTTATTAGGCGGAACCCTATTTTTACGCTCTCGCGAGTCGCGAGTCGACATTTAAAATCAAAATAACTCGGCTCCTGATTAGAGTTAGGAACAAAAGTTGGGCATGGAAATGTTCAGAATTATCATATTAAGTGGGGTAGAACGTGGTTTCAAAGTCTTCAGACGTCAGGTTGTTACCTGAGGACCCCAGGCTATTATGTTCATTAACATAATATATAGATTTGGCGGAATGACAGGCTGAGCGCGGCCCAGTAAGTCAGGTTGTTGAGTTATTAGGCGGAACCCTATTTTTATGCTCTCGCGAGTCACGAGTCGACACTTAAAATGAAAATAACTCGGCTTCTGATTGGAGTTAGGAACAAAACTTGGGCATGGAAATGTTCAGAATTATCACATTAAGTGGGGTAGAACGTGGTTTCAAAGTCTTCAGACGTCAGGTTGTTGAGTTATTAGACGGAACCCTATTTTTATGCTCTCGCGAGTCGCGAGTCGACACTTAAAATCAAAATAACTCGGCTTCTGATTGGAGTTAGGAACTGAACGTGGACATAAAAATGGTCAGAATTATCACATTGAGTGGGAAAGAGTGTGGTTGTACGGGATTTAGAGAGTATTCACTGTTTGCTCTGGGCGAAACTTACTTTTTCTGGTTATTAATTTAATTTTCAAACTACTTTTACCATTGCAGTTGTGAGCAATTCATCTTGGCCAGGAACAAGAAAAACACATTATTTATCGTATAAGGTGACCTATAAGCCTTATAGGTCACCTTATACGATAAATAATGTAATTAAGGTCGACGTAAGTTCGTCAAACATAAATAGAAAAATAGAACTCAATACATGAGATCATAAATAGAAGTATTAGAACTCAATATTTGAGATCATAAATAGAAACATAGAACTCAATACATGAGATCATAAATAGAAGCATTAGAACTCGATATTTGAGATAATAAATAGAAACATAGAACTCGATATTTGAGATCATAAATAGAAGCATTAGAAATCAATATTTGACATCATAAATAGAAACATGGAACACAATATTTGAGATCATAAATATAAACATAGAACTCAATACATTTGTTAATAATAATTGAAATACGTCGTCTGAAAACTTTAAAACCGCACTCTACCCCATTTAATATGATAATTCTGGACATTTCTATGCCCAAGGTTAATTCCTAACTCTAATCAGGAGCCGAGTTATTTTGATTTTAAGTGTCGACTCGCGACTCCCGAGAGCATAAAAATAGGGTTCCGCCTAATAACTCAACAACCTGACGTCTGAAAACTTTGAAACCACGTTCTACCCCACTTAATATGATAATTTTGAACATTTACATGCCCAACTTTTGTTCCTAACTCTAATCAGGAGCCGAGTTATTTTGATTTTAAGTGTCGACTCGCGACTCGCGAGAGCGTAAAAATAGGGTTCTGCCTAATAACTCAACAACCTGACGTCTGAAGACTTTGAAACCACGTTCTACCCCACTTAATATGATAATTCTGATCATTTCCATGCCCAACTTTTGTTCCTAAATCTAATCAGAAGCCGAGTTATTTTGATTTTAAGTGTCCACTCGCGAGAGCGTAAAAATAGGGTTCCGCCTAATAACTCAACAACCTGACGCCTGAAGACTTTAAAACCACGTTCTACCCCATTTAATATGATAATTTTGAACATTTTTATGCCCACGTTTAGTTCCTAACTCTAATCAGAAGCAGAGTTATTTTGATTTTAAGTGTCCACTCGCGACTCGCGAGAGCGTAAATACTATGGTGTGGGCCTAATAACTCAACAACCTGATGTCTGAGGACTTTGAAACTACGTTCTACCCCACTCAATATGATGATTCTGAACATTTTTATGCCTAAGTTTAGTTCCTAACTCTAATCAGAAGCAGAGTATTGTTAATTTTAAGCGTCGAATCGGGACTCGCGAGAGCATAAACATTTGGGTGGGGCCTAATAACTCAACAACCTGACGTCTGAGGACTTTGAAACTACGTTCTACCCCACTCAATGTGATGATTGTGAACATTTTGCTGCCCGAGTTTTGCTCCTAACTTCAATTGGAAGCTGAGTTATTTTGATTTTAAGCGCTGCAATCGCTACCCGCGAGAGCGTAAAAACAGGTTGGGGCCTAATAACTCGACAACCTGACATCTGAGGACTTTGAAATTGTGGTCTACCCTACTCAATGTGATGATTCTGAAAATTTTAATGCCCAGGATGAGCACGTAGCTCAATCAGAAGCCGAGATATCTCGTATTTAGTGTGAAAATCACGACTCGCGAGGGTAAATAAGGGTGTGGTCACATAACTCAACAACCTGATGTCTGTTGACTTTAAAATTATGCTCTACCCCCCTAAATAAGATGATTCTGAACAACTTTAAAGCCAAGCTGAGCTTCTAATTCCAATTAGAAGCGGAGTTATTTTGATTCTAAAGTTGCAAAAGCGCCAAAAAAGGGCGTGGTCGATTGCGCAAAACTGCACCATAGCCAAAATTTCTACCCAAGCCAAATTTGTTTCTAATGGGTCCCTTGAGGTATTCCAAGTCTCAAACCCCGGGGCGGAAGTTATATAGACGGGAATGTCGTCAGATCCATGACTAAAGATGCCAGAATTTATTTTTATTATTTTACTTGATATTACTTTTTAAAAACAAAATAAAGCAGTGAAGGCACAGTCATTGAAATAAGCTAAAAGATAATGCGACAGATTCTATTACGACGACCGAAATTTTGGCGGTCCGAAAATATGGCGAAATTTTCAGAAAACCGCCACATTTCGTACGTTATAAATATTTCTTGTAAGGTATTGAATGTTGGCGCGCTCACTGCACTATATAATAATTATAATAATTGATAATATACTCAGCTATTATTGATTATGCAATTTACCTGAGGACCCCAGGCTATTATGTTATTACTGGGCCGCGCTCAGCCTGTCATTCCGCCTAATCTCTATTATATTCGGTTGTTTACCAACATTAAAGCCTGGGGTCCTCAGGTAATTATGTTAATAAAGATTTGGCGGAATGACAGGCTGAGCGCGGCCCAGTAATATGCAATGTGCAACTACTATCGTTACCTGTATTGTGTATTATAATATATTATATGATTATGCTGTTATCAGTCTAGTACAGTTACTTTATAATACACCATACAAGTAATATTATGTA